AAAAAAATATATTTTATTGATTTTTTTACAGAGAGGAAGGGAGAGGGATAGAGAGTTAGAAACATCAATGAGAGAGAAACATCGATCAGCTGCCTCCTACACACTCCCCACTGGGGATGTGCCCACAACCAACGTACATGCCCTTGACCAGAATTGAACCTGGGACCCTTGAGTCCACAGGCCGATGCTCTATCCACTGAGCCAAACCGGTTAGGGCAATTAATTCCCTTTTAATGTGCATGAATTTCATGCACCGGGCTACTAGTGTATAAAATAAGCAGCAAAACTGCCATTCTCCACAGCATTTTCTCAATTCATTGAGATATTGCTTCCTGGCAATTGTTGTCAGTGTGGCCCTCAAATAAACTCATGAAAATTCTCTCCAGGTAATCTTCAGATGTCCAGTGGTCTGGACAATGGAGTTTCTTCTTGAGGTCATTCAGATGGTCATCTGAAGGTTTGATGTATGTCCAGGCATTAAAGCACAATGACCTATATGCATCCAGGTACTGGCACAGGCCTGGAAAGTTAAGAAGTTTCCAGACTAGTTAAGGCAAGAAGAGAATTGTTTCCTCCTGCCTCAGCCTACTTTATTTTAATAATTTAGCAGCATGACCATAGTGAGTCCATTTTATAACTTACTCTTTTCCTCAAAGTTCAGATATTTACTCATTTACATTTTATTCTTGTTGCTTTATGGCTTTGCTTTTTTAGAAGGAAAAAGTCATAGTTTCTACTTTGTATATGAGGAGTAAAGTCACTATCCAATTACATTTAAAAAAATGTATGTGCTAGGTACTATTTTGGACACTTGGGAAACACCCAAGAACCAAATGAACAAAAATCCCTAGGCTTGAGGAGCTTATGTTCTTGTGGGGGGAGAGACACAATAATCAATAAACATGTTAAATTAGTAAACTGCATGCTGGAAATAAAGTGTTGTATTGCTTATTAAACTAAATGGAATACGTATAGATTTTTTTAAAAAGGCTAAGAACTAACCCTGGAAGAGGAAGATCAGCAGAGAAAACTGAGAAGGAGCAAGGGTGAATTAGGAGGAAAATCCTTTGCGGTCCTAGAAGCCACATGGAAAATGTATCAAGTTAGAGGAAATGACCAACTGTGCTAAATACTGCCAGTAGGTGTACAAATGAGTACTGAATCTAGCAACATTGAATCTAGCAACATGAAGATCATTGGTGACTTTGATGAGCAATTTCAATGGGGAGGAAGCAAAGACCCAGTTGGAGTTTATTGAAGATGAATCTAGAGGAGAGGATTGGAGATAGCAAAGCTGCCTATCAAGGAAGTGGTAGTTGTCAGGGGAACTGAGTTGAAAGAAGGCTTTCCTGTTGGGAATAAATTTAGAGAAGGGAGAGATATTACAGCAATCTCCTTGAGTCTGTGTGGTACTCAGGGTCCTTGCAGGAAGTAGATGGCACAGTCAAAAGAAAGAGGCTGGAGAGATTATTACAG